AATAACACTATTTCAAATAAATAATTGATTGAATTTTTTAAAAATAAATAATTATTTTTATAATATTATAAATATACCTTTTTATAATTATTTCATATAATTTTTATAAAAATATATGGATTATTTAATTATTTTTTGTTTCTAAATAAAGTAAAAAATTAACTTTTAATTTAATAATGATAAGTAAGTATTAAATTCAATATAATAAACAAATTCACACTATAGTTGAGTGATTAAGCTTTCGTTGATTAATTTAAAATGTCCCAAGTTTGAATCTTATAATCATCGAAAAAAATATTAATTTTGTGATAAAATTGTTATATAAGTTAAATTCAAAATGTGGTGAAATTTACTTAAATGACTAGTTTAGCTCAATGGCCGATCAATTTGTTTCTTATGTAAAATACTCAAGATCAAATCATATTAGGAGCAAAATGATTTCTATTTTTTTTTTTGTGTCGCCACCTAATTGATTGAATACAATTAATTAAAAAATACTAATAAATATAAAAAAAAGTGAAGTAGTAATTAAAACAAATAAGAAATTGACATGTCATGTCACGTAATCATTATCATCTATAATTTTTTTAAAAAAAAAATTAAAATTAAAATACTAAAATTAAATAAAAATTATAATTTAGATAAAAATTAATAATTTATTATTTTTAATATTTATTTAATAAAAATTTTATTTAACGATACATTTCGATATATCACTATAATAATATATTATGATATACAACGTGTGCTGATGTTTGAATCCTTACTTCAAAGAATAATAAAAATTTATTTACCACCTAGACACGTGACATATATGTTAAATGGCAGTCTCGGAGACCATTGCGAAGACTCGATCTGGAAAAAGCCAAATAAAAAAAGAGCAGCTGTAAGACATAATGACGTATCTACCCTCAGATATTGCCGGGAACAGCCGCAACGGCAGACAGGTACCATGTGCTTCTTTAACTACCACGGTGAGTAGGTGTATTGGAAATTAATTTTAATTTTGAAATTGGAAATGGGATGATGGATGAAATTTATTTTAATTTGGAATTTAATATTATAGAGAAAATGGGAGTCAAAAGTCAAATAAAGGTGTATGTACGACAGAGGTGAATTTACAGTTTTGGTCCTGGCGTTAAGCAAAACCTAATCCCACCTTACCACAGGCTGGTGTGACTGCTGGCTTGTTCTATCAATTACTTTTTTTCCCCCAATTTAATTAGTTTCCTTTCATCTTCCAAATCATTTTTTTTCTTTAATTTTGCATTTCCAATTTATTTATTTATTTGTGATCCAATAATGCCGGGTCTCAAATCTCCACCCGATGCTCCTCCGTTACGGATTACGGTGTCGGAGCCGCCGTCTCAGAATCCACCTCGGACGCCCAACAAAAAGCTTTCGTCGCTTTCCCCTTCCCGATCCAAGGCTTCCCCAGCCCGCTCCGCCAAGAAACCTCCGCCCGACTCACCCAACCCGGACGATTCCCCGCTCGATAACCCGGATCTCGGCCCCTTCTTGCTCAAATTGGCCCGGGATACCATCGCTTCCGGTGAGGGTCCCACTAAAGCTTTGGACTATGCGATTCGAGCGGCGAAGTCGTTCGAGAGGTGCGCCGTTGAAGGTGAGCCCATTTTGGATCTGGCGATGAGCTTGCACGTGCTGGCGGCGATTTATTGCAGCTTGGGGAGGTTCGATGAGGCGGTTCCGGTCCTGGAACGGGCGATTCAAGTTCCCGATGTGGAACGGGGCCCGGATCACGCGTTGGCTGCGTTCTCCGGGCATATGCAGCTAGGGGATACGTACTCGATGCTGGGGCAAGTGGAGAAGTCAGTTGGGTGCTATGAAGAAGGGCTAAAGATTCAGATCCAGGCTCTGGGAGAGACCGACGCTAGAGTTGGCGAAACTTGCAGGTTATCTTACTCTCTCTCTTTTACGGCTTATTACTGTCGAGATTTAGTAGGATATTTGAGATCTTTTGGGCGTTAATGTTAAATCGTTGTAGGGTAGCTTTAACAGGTATTGATTCAATCATGTGTATAAATGATGAATTCATGAACTTGAATTCGCTTAGCAAGTTGCAAGCTGTTTATATATTGATTGTGGATTTTAACTTAAAAGCAGGGATGTTATTGAAGGTCTTTTCCCAGAGGAGATTCTTGGTGTTAGATTTGTTCTGTTTCTGGGTTTTCCGTAGAATGATTGTTTGTCTTTTTTGCTTAAATTTTTGAGTTTATTCATGATTAATGGAAACATAGGTACTTGGCTGAGGCCCATGTTCAAGCAATGCAATTCGATAAAGCTGAAGAATTGTGCAAGAAAACTCTTGAAATACATCACGCACATAGTGAACCGGCATCACACGAAGAGGCAGCCGACCGCAGGTTGATGGCACTTATATGCGAGGCTAAGGGAGATTACGAAGCGGCCCTTGAGCACCTTGTCCTAGCCAGCATGGCAATGATTGCCAATGGGCAGGAGAATGAAGTAGCTGCTATTGACGTTAGCATTGGCAATATTTACATGTCTTTATGTCGCTTTGATGAGGCCGTCTTCTCCTACCAGAAGGCACTAACAGTGTTCAAATCATCGAAGGGTGACAACCACCCTCAAGTTGGCTCTGTCTTTGTACGACTTGCAGATCTATACCACAGGACTGGAAAGCTCCGAGAGTCGAAATCCTATTGTGAAAATGCCCTGAGGATCTTTGCAAAACCCGCACCTGGAATCACTGCAGAAGAGATTGCTGGTGGGTTGACAGAAATTTCAACCATATATGAATCTGTCGATGAGCCTGAGGAGGCATTGAAGCTCTTACAGAAAGCAATGAAGTTGTTGGAAGACAAACCAGGACAGCAAAGCACAATTGCAGGAATCGAAGCACGGATGGGGGTGATGTTTTACATTCTTGGGAGGTATGAAGAGGCAAGGAAGTCTTTTGAAAGTGCAGTAGCGAAACTTAGAGCTAGTGGGGAGAGGAAGTCGGCCTTCGTTGGAGTTGTGTTGAATCAGATGGGTTTGGCTTGTGTTCAGTTATTCAAGATAGATGAAGCTGGTGAGTTGTTCGAAGAAGCAAGGGCGATACTCGAGCAGGAATGTGGCCCATGTCATCAAGATACTCTGGGAGTGTATAGCAATCTTGCAGCAACTTATGATGCTATGGGAAGGTAACCTAATATCTTAAACCACCATGCATCAAATTCCATTCATAGCTTATGATATGCATTTACGGTGCTGTGCATTTTATACTTGTTTAAACCAAGACTTCAATTACCCTTGTGATACAAAAATCAGGGTCGAAGATGCGATTGAGATACTGGAGTATGTACTAAAGTTACGAGAAGAAAAACTCGGAATTGCAAATCCGGATTTTGAAGATGAGAAGGGTAGGCTGGCTGAGCTCCTGAAAGAAGCAGGCAGGTCACGCAACAGAAAAGCGAAATCACTGGAAAATCTCATAGATCCAAACTCAAGGAGGAGGACGAAGAAAGAGGGGACGAAAAAATGGGGTTTCAAAATTTGAAGGCATTCTTATTTCTCGTGTCGTATCTTAATCCGATTTGGAACATATATTCACTTTGTGTATCATGGAAGATCATGTATAGTGTTGTAATTTTCCTGAGCTTCCCTGTTTTTGGAGCTTTAAGATCCCCCCATATTTTTTAACCTTTTTACTATTGTTATTTGTGTTATTGAATGATGTGGTGTTGAAATTTGGAATAAATTTTATCATGATGTTTCTATTTCTGTCTGTTCATATAACCTCAGTAATTCATTTCTTTTTCACTTTCATCCTTAAATTGCTCTTTTCCAATCTTTTTAACGACTTTTGCCTTTCAATCCCTTTTTCGACTTTAGATAAACTTTTCGAGATGAAAGTTGTCGATCTATCCTCTAAACAAAACTGCACGCACCACAATTTCTTAGGATCACCTAATTCATACCTGTCAACATCTCAATTCTAAGATTCTTATATATACATTTTATATATTTCTTGATAAAATTTTCAGCCCCTACAAATTTAAGAATAAATAAGTAATAATTTTGTCATCAAATTTCGACTGGTCATAGCCAAAGTACTTGGTTATGTAAGAGGTTGGTCTAACCAATATCATTATAATACCAATCATATTGACTACGTTCGTTTGATGTCATTTCTTTGACCTTCAATTTTAATGTTCATTTTACACATCTTACGCTAGTAGAATTCATCATTGTTATTTCTAACACCAATGCACAACAAAATTATCTCTGGAATCCAGAAATGAGACTAAGGAAATGTTTCTTTCTCTAGAAATTTTGAATTCGAACTACGTCTGCAAGGTATGTAAACGTTATCAATGATTAATAAAATTACTTTGGAATCATCTCAAATTATTAAAAAATAAAAAATAAAACTATCTTTTAACAATGTTTCAAAGAAAATGTTTGTTGTCTATTAATGTTTCAAAGAAAATGTTTGTTGTCATGGGAATAGACGCTAGAATTCAAGGTAAGAGTGAGTAAAACTTGACTAGACTAAAAATCTCAATCTTTTTATTTAATTCGATTTAAAAAATTCAACTCATTTTGAATTGAGCTATAAAAGAAAACTCGAATAACTTGAAATTTTTAGTAATTCATAGAATAATTTTCAAGTTTAAGTTGAGTATCTCAACTCTATATGATATATGTATATCAAATATATATATCATGTACGATATATATATAACAATATATATATATATATATATATATATATATATTGCTATGATAAATTATTTAAATTAAAATAAAATAATGTTATAAATAAAAAAATTAATTTAATTAAATAAAAAATTAATTTTTCAAGTCGAATATGAATTTCACCCACCAACTAATTTAACGTAACACTCTACGAAACTTTATCGGCACTTTCCCAAATATAACCTTAAAAAATTATTAGTATATACTTGCTTCACGAGACAAGCGAATTAATGGGCAAAATCCAATTTCAAAAAATCACATGAACTCACTGCTTACGGAGATAAAAGGTCTAAAGCTTCGCAAAGCAATGAAAATTTACAAAGGATTTGACATCCTCAATCAGCTCACTGCTTCATATCCTAATCCAGGCTACCTGCTAATCACTAACGAAAACCGACCCCCAGAGGCTAACGACTAACGGACATTTATATATTTACGAGCGGAGGAAACCTAAAGATTAGAAACACCACCCACCACACTGAAGTATTCACATGATCCTACTCCTAGCCTCTAACCCATACTAACAAGTCTTGGTTCTTCAAATCCAGGAGATGTATTTTAGTCTCCTATGGTAGGCGGCTCCAAAAACCGAGCTAGTGATTCATGTTCCCTCGACTCTCTTAACAACCTCCATAAGTTCAAAAGTCAAAGACAAAAGCTCCCACAGGCAACAACAAAAACAAACAACAGGTACTGAATGGGGAAAATAAAAGAAAATGTCCCTACTTTAGTCCGAGTTGATCACAGTCCCTTCACCTTCAATAATAGACGTGGGATGTTTGCTTTCTGTGGTCATCTTTTTCACATCCTGGCTTGAACAGATAAAAATCCTTCTTACCATATTACAAAATTCCCTGCAAGCAAGAGGGTAAGATAAATTCTGTAAGACGCTTCTCTTTATTACGAAAAAAAACAAAAAAAAGGGAAAAATAACATGCATCAAGTAACTTACAGCCATGGGTCATCGCCTACGAGCATCATATCCCCTTCATCATCAGTGTAAACAATCTCCCACTTATTCATAGGGCGAAGCTCTCCCTTAATATCAAACATCTCCTCCAATTCATCTATAAGCTGATCATATCCTGCCAATGTGACCAAGTCCACAGCACGACCAACGGCAACCCCCTGCATCTGAACCTGTTCAAATATGCAACCAAAAAGAGAGTTTATTGGAAATTCTTCAAGGTAGTAGATAGTTTTCCAGTCGAATGAAAATGTCACTTTCAATACCTTAGTACGACTTCTTGTAGAATTAGAACTTTGCCTGTTCTGGATCTCTTTTGCCGATACCTGTAACTGTTCTTGTTGCATCTCTTTAGAATCTTTTGACATGTCAGATTTCTGGTCAGAGTCAGTGGGTGAGAGAACAGTTGGACCATGTCCTTCAGTTGTACAGGCAGTCACATTAGAAAGTTGTGTGGATGTCCTCTCCACTGGAGTTGTTGAGCTCACAGAGTGGTTTATCAGTTCAATACCAAACAATCGACAACTAGCTGCGGTCTCGGATTTCTTTAACTTTTCAATTGGATCAAAGGTTGAATCATCCTTCAGTTGTGGATTTGAAAAGCCTGAAAGAAGAGGCCAACCAGACACACTTTTGCTATCCTCCCTTGCATCGGGAAACAGATGCTGAGAAACACTCATGCCAGAAGACAGCCAGCTTCCTTCATTTTGAGTCTTCGAGACAGAGCCGCAACTACTGTTTATCTGTATCTGCATGTGATGCCACATGGCATGATTCTCATTTCTTTTAGCTTCGGCAGAAATGTTACGCTGAGTTGGATCATGGGAATGCATCACTCCAGAATTCCAAGGAGCTGATGCTGTTGTTGACATATCTATGTTATTCAAAGTGAGCAAGTCAGATAGAACAAACATAAGTATAACAATAGATAAATATACAACGAAAAGTATGTCTTACGTAGAGCAGGATTTTCAGCGGGCGGTCGAGGCCTTTTGTTCTTAGCTGCATTCGGTTGAGCCAGAGCTGGTGGAATTGGAGCAACAAAGGGTTCTATCTCCCATGGTGAAACCCTGTCAGGCCTCTGAATAGAGGCAGGCTCATCCCATTGTACCTGTTGAGAAGCATTAAGAAGTCTTAGATGTACATAACCAGCCTTAACAATTTAAAATAAAGTTGGAGAAATCATGTAAGAACAAGTTACCTTCATCGAACGCCATTTTGAATCTTTCCAGTGAGGAGAAAAGTCTTCAACCCCAACAATTGTTCCAGAAAACCTTATCAATCAAGATATGTTGAATAAGTACTTAAAGAAAAGATTTCTCTTTTTCTTTTTTTTTCCCTTTAAAAGAAATCGCCAACAGAGAACAATTACATGGTTAAAGTTCTAGTACCTTCTATCAGGAGAATCTTCCCCTTCAAACCTCATCTTAAATCTCATGCCAACTGCAAACTTACCATTAAGGGCATCTAAATATTTGTTCAACCCAATGATGAACTGACTTGTCCTGATATTTACATGAAACAAATATGAGAAAATAAAATAATAATCTCATTTTTGGCAAATCTATGAATATTATACCTTGGCTTATAGTAGACAACAAAGAGGGACTGGGTTGAAACAGCATGAGATGCAGTTGCAAGCACTCCTAAGTGCATATTCTGACTTGATATCACTGACAACGGCATGCTGCTCTGTTGGTGAGCTACACGCCTAACTCCGACACGAAGCTCCCCATTCTCTCCTCTAGGGGACCAAGTATTAAATGAATAATTCATCAGCCACAATTCAAATAAACACAAACAGCAAAAGGACAGATCACATGCAGAAAAACATCAAAGTGGACAAAAAGACGGAAAATGAAAAAAAAAACATCTACCTCAGAAACACAAAGGAATCACCAGCGACTAATCGCTTTGAAGTTACAAATGTACTCCATCCTGTTGTCAGCAAATGCCTCCTTGGTTCGCCTGATCAGTCAATCATAAAAAAAAAAATCATGATTTTCCCATTCATGGTGGAGGTACTTTTTACAAAAAATGAGAGGTCAAACATTAAGCCTTAAAGTATCTCATATCTACCAAATCCAGAGGAACTTTAATGTCAAAAGTCTGAATGAGGAAAACAATAAATAAGGTGTTTTGGTTACCTCTGAATATATGCTTAAAGTGCCACTCATAACCATGAAGATCCTTTGCAACCAATTCCTGGGTTGGCGTTGCCTGGTTCATGTCCTGAAAGAAAACCACTTTCAAAAATCAATATAATGAAAATCTCGGACAGAAAATTAAAACGCCAAAACAAATAGCTGGATCTAGAACAGAATACCAGTGGAGGAAGGCATTCAGTGGCATGTTTTCGAAGAACAGAAAACCCTCCATGGGTGCTTGTATCTGAGGCTGTTAAAACCTTGCAGAATGAGTGGACAGTAGGTCTTTGAGGCTCAGGAGTGCATTCATCAGGAGTTGTTGGCTCAGGTTGCTATAGATGCCAAAACCATAATTGGAAATCAATAATTTCAAACAACATAATATGGGGAGGGAGAGAGAGAGAGAGAGAGAGAAAACCAACTTTGTTTTTTGCATTCTAATACTGAGAGATGCTCAAACCAGTAAGGAACAAAATTGACTACTTACATTCGGTTCCGGCAACAAAGTAATTTGAGCATAAACTTCATCAGTTTCTTGTTCAGCCTAGAAGAAGCAAAGTTCATAAAAATTATCCCAAAATCAATCATGTTGATAGAATAATATAATGATGCAGTCTGTCTGCATCACATGACATTGGACTGAAAAACCCTATTTATCTAGCCAGTAAAACTAATTACCCAAAAACAAAAAGTTATTCAAAGCTTAAGGTTTAGATTCTCTTCAAGATCAAAAACAATAAAAACAAATAGATCGAAATAATTATTCCACTTCTCTTTTTTAAATGTACTTCAATTGATCAACAACCAAATAGACAATCAAAACAAGGTAAATTGAAAAATCAGATATTGAAAATTACCAGCATCTGAATATGAACAACACGGCAAAGAATCTTCGATGGAAGATTAAACAACGGAATCCTCTTATTCAAGTCCTGATTCGTGGACGCTTCCAACTAAAAAAAACACAAAAAATAGCAATATCTCAATCAACAACCCATTTCAAACATTTCCATAGAAACACAATTAATTTCCAAATAAAAGAAGCACGAAAAAAATAAATAAGATACAAAAAAAGGAAAACACTTGCCTGTTCCATGTGCCCTTGAGGAAAATAGTAGACTCTCTCTTCAGCTCGAGGAACCTCAACCAGTGGTCCGGCACATAACTTCCATAACTCAATATACAGATCATCCCTTCCGTTTCCTATCACACAAGAAGGAAATGAAAACCTTCTAAAGAAAAATTCCAGAAAAATAAATTAGACGAAGAAAATCTCTTTTTTACCTTCAGAGGATACATTATTTGTCTGCGAAAACGCTCCGACTCTATTCGCCATTGAACTCTATCTAACTCACCGAGTCAACAAGCAGTAATAGTAGTAGAGCAGCAATTTCAAAAAACCAATAAAAAAAAAACTCTCCAAATCGCTTATTATACACTTAATCACCAAAATAATTAGGATTAATAACAAAGGTTATCAACACGAATTAACTGCTCGACTCTTCGATTCCAAGAGAAGTACACTTTGGAGCCCTCTCCGTAACGATCGCGAGATCCAAATACTGTAACCGAAAACCGCTTAAACGGTTACAATACCGCCTTCTTTTGGCTTCAAATTTCCCACTTCTTTTGTATAAAAAAGGCAGAGAAAAATCCCCCTAAAATCGCTTTGCGCGCGTCTTATATTAAGCGGTTTTGTTTTTGTTTTGTTGTCTGCCTTTTATTTCAACTCCGGTTCTTTCTCTTCACTTTGGTTTTTCTTCTCTCTCTCTCTCTCTCTCTCTGGAAATTAACGTTTATCGCGGCAAGGCTTTATTTAACTAACTCACTCATTAACTCTGGTTATGGATTTAACCGGGAAGGGAGGTTCATGGGTCCCTGAAGGGTTAATGTGACGGACGTTTTGACGGCGAATGATGAATTCCGTTATTAAACGGCGTTATACGTACGGATGATTGGGCATCGGGGATGCTTGTGGTTGGGGAAACGGGTGAGAAGCGTTAAGTGTGATATGGACGTTACTTGTTGTCGTCTCTTTCGTTGTCTTCTTCGAAACAGGCAACCGGGTTGGCTTGAGTTAACCCGGCAGAATTTTGGGATTATTTTTCAATTTTAATTCAAAGCAAGACTTGGGGATTAAATGTTTGCCCCTCGGAACATGGGGTGGTAATTACGACATTCTACCATACCATTGTGGGCTCCACATGACCATCGTGAGATGTGTTGGATCTTGATCCTCGTAAATCTCATAGGGAAAACTACAAGGTTGGTCTATGTTACTCTCTGTTTTTCTTATTTTGATCATTCATCTAGAAACAATTATATTCTGATCACATGTTTTGTTAATCTATCTTATTTTGATCATTGGTTTATTAACTTTGTTAGTTTGATGACGTGCGATATTAATAACAAAATTATTTTAAACTAGTTAGAATTAATGATTCAATTAATAAAATAAGATTCATCTGGGGATGACAACATATCAAGTCAATTTTTGACACATTCGAATTTAACCCCAAAATTAAAGTCATCCACTGACATGTGATCCGACTCGAATATAAGAGAGTTTCATCCTACCTAGTTTTTTAGGTCAAATCCATACCTGGCCCAACTTAAATATATTTTATATAAAAAATCATTTTTATTAAATAAAATAAAAACATAACTGAAAAAATAATACAAAATGATGAAATATTAAAATTATCTCTAAATATATAAAAGATAATTATAATATTATGTCGAATTTTTCGGGATTAAATTTTTTAACCTTAAACATGATCTGAATTGAACTCAAAATTTTAGGGGTCGCGTTGGGTCAGGTCTAGGTGAAATTGTCATCACTGGACATATTGATAATATAAGTAATCAGAATGTAAATTTTACAAAATTGATGACCAAATAAAATAGACTAAAAATAAAAGTAACCTTGAAAAATAAAAGAAGCGTTGTTTTTTTCCGGACAAACTACGAGCGGTGGTTCGGGTGGTTCTGGCCGGTGCACCTCATACCGATTTGAGTTTACACGTTGTTTGGTTCATGTGGGGTCACCTGTCCACGTGTATTTCCTTTTAACGTTGTCGTTTTCGAATAATTGACTCCATTACATCATCTATTCGTCATCCATTTGTCACTTTTTTTTATTGATCTATGATAAATATAAAATAGTATTTATTTAAAAACTATTGTTAATTATTTAATATTACAAATTTATATTTTTAATAATTTTTATGTTCGAATTTAAAATTTTAAAAATAACAATAATTCTATTACCGTGTTTGATTTTTCACTTTCTTTTCAAGAAACGGGTTATAATAGTTCTCCGATTATTTCGAAAAAGAATCAACGAAGCTTTTCATTCTTTTACAATGAATTTTATCAATAACTAAATAATTTAATTAATATTAATTGTAAAAATTATTAATGTTACCATTTATAAAAAATATCATCAATAAATTTTATACACATGATTTTTAAATTAATTAGGTATACGCTTAATTAAAAATATTTTTTTAAATTTACAATTAGTTTTTTTAAATTAAGGATTTAATTTTTAATTAAACTTTTTAAATGATTTTTTAAAAAATCGATGGCAATTTAATTGAGGGTCTATTAACGATTCATCTGATAACTATTAAAAGTATACAAATCATCTCTTATTATATGTTATTATATGGTGTTGTTTTATTGAGTCTCTCGATTATTAAAAGTTACAAAATAGTTTCTTAAGGAGTTAATTTGTTAAGTCCCTCGACTAAAAAAAGATACAAAATAGTTATCCAACTAGTCATATTATTTCAAACTCATCATTTTCTATAAAAAAAATTGACGATCATCTGAGATGGACGTTAACATGCTAACTGAGATATAATATTCATTTAAGTTTTTAGATCAGATTTTATTAATGTTAACCTCAAGTTCAGATTGTCATCAAATTGTTAACGAAAATGGATGGGTTTGGAACATATGAATAATCAGGTGATCATTGTGTAAATTTTAATAGTCAGTGGACTCAACAAAGCAACACCTATAGTAGGGGATTACTTTGTAACTTTTAATAGTCGGATGATTCAACAAAACAATATCCTATAAACGAAAGACGGCTTAATCTAAAAAAAAACTTAAACTATTATGTGTAACCACTTTTTGTCAAAATAAATCCTTAAATTATTATATGTAACCACTTTAAGTACCTTAGTTATTTTTTGTCAAAATAAGTCCCCAAATTATAATCCTATTTTGCTTTAAGTCCCTAAAATATTTCTTTTATCAAAACAAGTATATAATTTTGTGTGACGTGCCAACATCCTATTGGTTGCAAAGTAATTTTCAAACTAAAAAATATGACTTAAAATAATTAAATATAATATTTTAAGTACATAATTTGATAAAAAAATAATTTAAGTACCTAAAAACATAATTAAATGTACTTGGAGCTCACTCACAAGGGTTGAATATATAAAAAAAATAGGGTGTCCCAATGTGAGGGGTTTGTGTTTGTAGGGATAATGATCCCAAATGTAGGAACAGTGATAAAAAGGGCACATGCCGCTGATTCCCCAGCCATCTACTAGGCGATGCGGATGCCTGCACTTTCTCTTTTCTTATTCTCATCTTAATTAAACAATTCTATATATTATATTACATTATGAAATGACCGTCTAACTCAGTTGGTAGAGAACAAGGTTTTTAATTTTGGGGTCGTGAGATCAAGTCCCACGGAAGACATTTCATAATTCGGAGGTCTCATACGGAAGCTGCTCTCAATCTGGCGTTGGGGGCAGCCTACTATCCTACCTCCCTCTTACCCCATTACATATGGGAATAAGGATCAGCTAATTTTTTTATATATTATATTACATAGTTTTAAGCTAAATATAATCAAATGTTAATAATGAGTTAAAATAATTATTTTATATTTTTATTTAAGTTGATATATTCATCACAATATTAACATTTAACTATAATATTTTTTACATTTCAGTTTTATTTCCAAAATAAATTGATATTTTATCCAAATATCTAGAATTTAGATTTAGGATTTGTCCTATTTTTTTCATAATCGTAGTTAATCTATTTTTTTCCCTCATCTTTATGATCGAAAGTAACATTACTCTTGATGTTGATTGCAGACTGTTTTTACTTTGTTTTATTGTATCTTTATTTTTTATTTTTTTGTTTTTAATAATTATACCTTTATGACACGTCTTCTACTACCTTTGTGACATGTTTTTCTCTGTCGTTATGACACATTTATGGTCGTTTGATCATTATATTCGTTTATTTTTTCCAGGGTTGGATTTGATATTGTCACGATTGACCAAGATAATGTTTTATTTGTTATCATGCTGATCTTTCTTGCTTTGGACTTTCAGATTGGATTTGGATACGTCATTTACGTTCTTGGATAGTATTTTCACGTCACTCAATTCTGATTTATGATTTGTCAGTGGCTTTTCATTGGCTTCATTCCCTTTTGTGATTTGTTTGCCGATACGATCAGATATGTCCGTATCTACTTTTTATCCGAGTTTATTTGGTTAGATTTTTTAACCTTTTTACTTGTATGGTTCTTGTGATCTTAAAGTTGTTAGTTTTCTCATATTTTAAAAAATATCTTTATTGTACGTTTAGTATACGGTTGTGGTTGTAAACTTTCGTTGTAATTTAAATATTTTCTATTTGTAATAAAATCAGTGGTTTCAATAAAAAAATTAAATAGATATTATATTTCCTTAAAGATATATTTTCATAATAAAATTAGACACTTCAAAATTAAACTAAACTTTTCAAAAATAATTTTTACATCTTTTTTAAAAAAATATTAAATTAATTTTTTAAGTATTTAATGATTTTATTCAATTATACATTATAAAAGATAACATAAATTATCAGGTGTCATGTGAGATACAAATAAAATAATAATATATTTCATTGCTTAGTTCATGCTTAAGTTCTTTACACCTCACCTTTCTTTTTATTTATATTAAAATTTCATCAATTTTCTTAACTTTTCAACTTTTGCAAACCAAATGAGATTAATTGCGGATAACTAAACCATCTAGAAAAACATGTAAAATGAAATAAAAAGAAAGAGAAATTGAGGAAAAATTACAAAATATAAATAATATACAAAATATTGAAATAAAATAAGAAAAAAATAAAAAATAATATAAACAAAAACTATTTAAATAGGATTATAATACCACAAAATAAAATAAAATAAAAAGTCATAGAATTCCTCATTAGATGATGCCCTTGAGCTTAGGAGTTACCCACCTAGGATATATAGCATTGGTGAACGTGGGGTACCCTAAAGAGAAATAATAATATTAGACTATAGAAAAGATGTGAATGGGGTTTAATTAATTGAATAATTAAAGAAGGGGATGCCTTAAAAATCACTAAAGAATTAGGGCACTATGGGATGGAACCATGAGGAGACAATCATGGGTTTAAAAAAAGTTAATTATCTTTTATTAGTGGAGCGTAAACCAACAATCTTTCTTTGTAAGCATATTTTTAGTTTTTTTTAATATTTACAAATTTCCAATAAATGTGATTGAGGAGAGGATTATAGCCGAGGAGTAGTGTGGGATTTTGGTCCCCCCAAATAATACAGTTTTTGACTTCTTCTTTGACTAGATTAAGAGCTTTCCAACCGTTGGATGAGGTAACTTGAAAAGCTAGTGTTTACCTTGAATGCTTGCTTTTTTTTGAAATATAATACTAAAATTAGTCCCAACCTTTATATAA